CCAGTGTGCACGTTAAAGAACGCAGTATACTAATTGGAAATGAGTAGGAAATTGTTTCCCGGTGTACAGTGGTGTAACGACTATGCGCTCCCATGCGGCGGTCTGCAGGGCCCCCATCACCTAGGGCCCCGAAGGTGCCCCAACCCATAGGGTCCTCGCTCGGGCACCCTTACCCAAAAGGGCTTTGTTGATACATAACAGCATAATGTCTCTCTGAGATCGACTGTAAGACATATATCATAGTATATCCGTGAAGGTTTAATGGGGGCCCCTGTCGGCCTGGGACCACCTACAATTTTCCAATTGTTTTAAAAATGGAAATTATACTCGCATTTTAAATATATGAGTGCCAATTCCGGCCACTTTGAGGTGCCGTATTCATAAATGATCTTACCTTAGCCCAACCATGCTGGGGCTGAGGTGGAATAGGTGTGTGAAAGCCACTCCCTACCCACATTCCCTCTATTTTGAATACCTAAATCTGCAACTGATATATAATTTATTTCCTTGTTAAAAGCAATCTAGAATACAATGCCAAATATTAGAAAAACGAGCAAATTTAAATTCCCACAATCAAAGTGTTGACCGGATCAAAAAGTGGACCCCATTCTCAGAAAACCACTGGGCCCCGGGCCCATCGTTAGGCCACTGCCAATGTAGTGCCCATTTACCACCAGAAGGACCTCACTGGAAACAAGTATTCTTCCGACTTTTGTGGGTTATCCTTGGTGTTTACACTGAATATATCCATCCACCCATAAGGGACAGATATAGAGAAAGAATTTTGTTTAGAAATGGTGGAGACAACAGACATTAAAAAAAATAGGTTGTTTTGGAGTAAGCCTACAGTGACGTCATGCTCCCTTCTTTCTGGTCTTTCTTCTCCCTTTCTTCTTCATTTTTTTGGGGTTGGGATAGACCCATGTCTCCTGGACCCACCCTGAAACGATTGATTGAAAGATTGTTTGATAATACTTATTTATATTGGCAAAGCTAAGAAAATGCACGTGCATATTCATAGACCTAATATATATGTATGTATATAATATATATATATATATATAAAAAACATTTTTTTGGCATTGTCTAATAATTAAAGTCTTTTCATCCTTAACACTTATCTCTAGGGGGATTACCCACCCCGGTGTCACTTCGTGAGCAAAAATATTTTACTGATATGCATGGTGCTCATAACATTGTTTCGGCCTGGGACCCACAACTCGTCGTTGCACCACTGGGAGGACCATGCCTATTAATGTTATAACAAATCAATCACCCAATCAAATATATTATACAGCATGTAACTTGCGGTCCATTGTTCATGTATGTAGAATCATCAATAAGTAGGAAAACAACATACTGAATTTGCCTTGGCCACCATAGAGTAAGAGTGGGGCCCCTGGCCTATCCTGGGTTCATTTGGACTCGGAGGAACTAAGCATTTCTCCAGAAAGTACACAGGTGTACATATCTGGTCAAACCTTTATAGTAAAATGATGGGTCATAGTTGGACTGACCTCTTCTAATAAATCAGCCAAAGAGTGTGTTTGTGGGATTTTGTTCTATTTGATAATTAGATTTACAGGACAATATATGAAAAACTACACAGTTTCTGGTATGTATATACCGGAAAACATAACTCATCATTGGCAGAGCTTTCAAATGATACTAAACACAACAACTTTTGGTAAGTTCGATTTTTTGACCTTTTGATCTTTTTTGTTATGTGACTTTATATTGGTCTATATCGCTGTAAATATGTATTATGTTGTTTTGGTGAAATGGCAATAAATGATCAGCGTATAATTCCCTTTCCAGGGGCGGATCCAAGATTTAAAATAGGGGGTTTCATTTTCCCATAAACCCAAAAATGAAAGGGGGTCCAGGGTCCTCCCCCGGGAAAATTTTGATTCCCAGATGACCGGAAATATGAGCTTTCCCGACTTCTGAGGTATCTTTTAATGACCTTTAATTTCTCCAAAATTCAAGGTTTTACCCCTCTTAAAAAAGGTCAGCTGATTTTATATCATTCTTAGGCCTATACCAAAGAAAATAAATCAAAAATATAGTCAATATATTTTTAGGCCAATATCAAGTCTCACGCATCCGGCGTGAACCTCACGTTTTTTTTAACAAACCTCATGCTCAAGCCACTCCTCTAAAATCTTGCGCTTTTCCACTATAATCTCAAGCTTTATTTGATTCAACTCAAACTTTTTATCAAATAATATAAACCTTCGCAATTCTATATTTTATCAGGCCCAGATCATCGAAAATTCTATCGTTCCTGTTATAGCTACTCATTTTTAAGGTTTAATTTCAGCACTAGAGATATTCAGAGTACCCAGAGAGCATCTAAGTCCAAAATTTTTCGGGGCCCTTGGACGGGCCCTCGACTCACGTCAATTGGGTTATTTCCTGTTAAATCTCAAGCCTTTAGCTATCTCCAACTTGGCATGTATTCTATATTTCAACATCAATGAGTATTTGGATTCTTTCTTCCATAGATCGATGAACTGATAGGCCTGAAGAATACAATTTCGTACGTAATTATTACGACGTCGAGCCAAAACAGTGTTTCTAATGTATTTAATTGAATGCTAGTGGGGCTAAGTCTATATATAAATAATACACATACTTTATAAAACATAAATTAACCTAATTTTCTGATAAACAAATTAAATAACATTAATTAAATGAAATATATTTAATGATATAACACGATGGCGTGTATTTCAATACTTGGAGTATGTATTATACTTTCTTATCTGAGATTAATCAGTGGACCTTTCAGTAGTAGGCGTATAGTAGAAGAGAATCACTAATGGGCCTGTCTCTTATACACATCTAGATGTGTATAAGAGACAGGTTAATAGAGGGTTTTTTTGTGGATGAAATATGGGTATATAGAACGACTAGGAAAAAGGTGTGATATCGAAATTCCAAAAAAGGGAAAAATGTTATATAGATATCCTGTTTTCTTTCCTGTATTTTTCATATAAAACCGGATTTAAACTTTCAAAACGTTTCTACAATGTGTATTTAGGCTTCATCAATACGGTATTGCGAATGCATCAATAGTCAATCAGTCAATTGATTGAATAACACTTTTGTATCATCGGCACACCTTTTTAGTGTAACCTTACAATGGCTAGATAATAATTAATTGATATAGAGAAAACACAAAAAAAAAAAAATATGTTCTCTTATAAAGTATAATGAAAATAACCTGATGCAAAAAAAATCAATAGGAAAACTAGGAGGAACAATGCATCGAACAAATG